TCGCATTCGAGGGGTTCGAGGCGTCCGCAATTCAAACATCGACGGTCCTTCGTAGAGCATGCGCAAAAAGCGGAACGTGGAGAGCAACCTCCAGAATCGCCACTACGACGAATTCGTTGTTGACGCTGCTTCTGTGGGGCCTCGTGAACAAGACCCACGAATAGGTTTGTACCCGGAACGAGAGTAAACTAAAATAATAGGGAAATAATAAAGACCTAAAACGTCACAGGAATCTTGGATGGTCATAGAACTATAAAGCGTCTTCTAGTAAGTGGAAATAGCTAAACAGCCCTACAACAAACCTATGTAATTTTTCTGAGGTGCGGTTTTATAAATCAGTCATTACGGAAAACAACTTCCATATTTATCGGACACAATGTTGCTGAATGGTAACTGGTTACCGTTATGCGGCTGCTTTATCGAACAGGGAAGGGACACTTTGAATGTTAATTCGATTTTGAGCAACATAATGCCAACGCAGTCACAGAACTGAAAATAAGCGAGTAGAATTATTCGTTGGCCTTAAGCTACACATGGCCTTCGCAAGTTTCATTTCCTCAATTATATCTGGCCTATCCAATCAGCCCATAGAGTCAAATAATGGAAATCGAAAATGGAACATTGTGAATACCGGAAAGTATGTCACTTAAGAGTCCTTGAAGGAGCCAACGCTTCCAAAGATTACTTAAAATAAGACACCTAAAAGCTCAACTGCATTGCAATCTCCCACACAACGCCTCTGCAAATATCACCAATTTCGGATAATTGAAAACCTATTCCCCTAACGTGTTATATTTAGAAAGGTTAGGCTAAAAGGTAAAAGATCTCTTAGAAAAAGGGGTGGCACAAACCTGATAGCGAGTGCAATGATCACCAGGAGCTGAGTTTGTAACGACGCCATCATAGGAGGTATTGTATAAGTGGTATCGTTCTAAAGTACGCTGTGAATATGACACACAAGCCACCTTGCGCACAAATTCAATATGATTCAAGAGGTCTGCGGCCACAAGGGGTTCCCTATGACTAATATGGTAGCTTTCAAAAGCACGACTTCCTTGAATAGGCTCTATAAATCCTGGATGAGCAATTAGATATCCTCGATCATTCATCAAGAGACATTTCGCTGAACCTCTATCCTCTTCTTCATCTTCATTATTTTCTCCAGCGTTGGATTCTTCTTCCACAGAATTCTTATCAGTCTCCACAGTTGTCTTCTTATCTTTTTGTCCAAAGTCCTTCTCCTCCGAGTTGGCAAAGGTATTCGCCTCAACTCTAAATCCTGAGTCTCTTAAGAACTCGAGAACTCGTGAGACCTCCTTCTGAGAGCCATTGAAGGAAGGATATTTTGATGATATAGCCTTAAATATGGAAGATTTCCCTTTAGAGGACGCTGTTTTATTTGCCATAGGGGATTTAGGAGGTTCAGGAGTGCAAAAGGTGGGAAGCCATGTGGTGAGAAGGTGATTAAAGAGACGGTAAGGAACGTCCATGGCCATAACAGCTTGAACACGATCTGTCTTTGGGTTGTGAACACCACTTTGACTGAAACAGGCCAAAATAAGATTACAATTTTTCCACCTCATAGCCCGGAAACTTACCCACACTTTCTAGGATTAAACTATGAATCACAAATTTAAATATTTTTCTTACAACCATCGCTGGTTTGCCCGTTTTATATGATATTTAAAAAAACCGACTAATCAAGGTTTAAATACTAGATTCGTGAGGAAAGAAGCATTGGTATAAGGATTTCGAGATTTTATTTCTTTACAAGTCAACTCAGAAGAAAAGGAAATTGGACACTGAAATTCGTATTGATCAGTTTGATTAAACAAGCGACTTAAAAGAAGCTTGAATTTAATCAATGAGCCAAAGTCGGGGTTTCCTTCCACATGGCTGGGTCATTGGATTTTCCAGAGAAATTCGCTGAGACAGACTTTCACTTATCTAAGTTCTACAAGTGGGAACTCCCAAATTTAATCTTTTTTATAGAGGGGTGTGCGATAGACTTACCTCCACGTGGTGCACCCTGGGCAACGTATACTCATACGACAAAAAAGTCTATTAATCGGCAGTTGACTTCTGACTTCAAATTTCTATGGCCCGACTATTTTTCATTTTCGACCCCTTCCACATTACTCATCTTACCTTTTTTATGCCTTTGTGTCTGTTTGTCTGTCTCTTTTACCTCTGTGAATCATTATTCTGTCTCCCATCTCGACTTTCTGTCACTTTGATGTCCTTTCTTCTCTTCGTGAAGCCCCGAAGTCAGCTCCAGGGCTAATGATAACTATCAAAACGCCTGCCATTTGATATAAATAAATAAATACATTTGATTAGCATAATTTGCGCTTCTGATATTGCAAAAGCGTACAATTTGAATATTTAGCTTTGGCTGTTAACAAGAGATCTCACCTTAATCGTCATTAAAAATGCAATTTGCATTTAATAGGGCAAGCTGAGGAAGCTATTTAAATTCAAAGACTTTGAGTAAGGCTTAAAAGTCAACCTTTACTTATCAAAATGGCCTTGAACGTTGGACACAAATTCTTTCAATAGATGAATACTTAACGGTTTAGTAATTTGCTCCTAGCAAAATTTTATTACACATATTTTCACTTAGTTGTTTTATCTTCAGATTGTAAACATACATATTTCCAATAAATGTAAATTGTTTAGAATTTTGTCGGCCGCAATTCTGGAATGCATTTTTGAACCAACGGATTTCAGAAGGGTAATATTTAATCGGGTAACATGACTAAAATTTCAGTTAATAAGCACTGAAAGCGGCAGACAAGCATAATATTACAATTCAGAGGCGAATCGTAAAAGTTCAAGTAAATATTGTTCATTCTCAATCCGCCAATCAATACCCCCCCCCCAAAGTAAGCACCTCCTTAATGCTCTTCCTTTTAGAACATTTACCAGGTTTTGGTTGTATTGCTTAATTGAAGAGCCCATTTATTAGCATTGCTTTGGACAATCTAAAATTTTTCTTATTAAGTGTTTGGATAATTTATTTCAAATTTTGCATGCTTATTTGATTATTTATTCATCTAGCATCCTATTGTATACGTGTTAAATAAGAGAAGCTAAATTTACACCATAATTGAAAATAACAATTCCTCAAGTTTATTAAAACTCGAGAAACGGAAGGAGGCATTGATAGCAAAAAAGAAAACGAAATCGAATGAAAGTAGGAGAATAATGACAATGGCTAACAAATTCTGACCTAATTTGATAACTTCCATACCATTGTTCAATCAATTTGTCATCCAATGTACTATAATTTTTAAAATCTTCATATTTCGTCTCCTGGATTTTTGAGCAAAATAATTTAAATTATGTTCAAGCGTCGGTTAT